TTAAGAAAATCCCATTGTTCCCTAGGGGCATAAGGTCTTACCTGTATGTTTTTGGGTTAATTAACTGGGGGAAAGTAACATCATAATAAATTGCAAACTTTCATTGAACGCTTATCTTGTAATAATATAGACTCAGAAAATTAATTTTTTTAAATCCTCACCCGAGGATATTTTTTCCATTGAATTTTCTTTTTTAGAGAGTGGAAGGAGTGGAAGGAGAGAAATATAGACGTGAGAGAAACACATTGATTGGTTGCCTTCCGCATACACCCTGACAGGGGCCGGGGATAGAGCCTGCAACCCAGGTATGTGCCCTCAACTGGGATTCGAACCCATGATCCTTTGGTGCACAGGATGGTATTCTAACTACTGAGAAACACTGGCCAGGGCTTTCCATTGATTTTTAGAGGGAGTAGAAGGGAGGGAGGCAGAGGGAAAGACGGAGAGGAACATCGATGTGAGAGAAACACATAGATTGGTTGCCTTCTGCACAAGCCCTGACCAGGGCCCGGGCTGGGGAGGAGCCTGCAACCCAGGCATGTGTCCTTGACCAGAATCGAACCCAGGACCCTTCAGTCCACAGGCTGATGCTCTATCCACTGAGCCACACCAGCCAGGGCAGCAATGATCTTTGGAACATCAGTTAAATGATACCGAACCCAGGGCTGTGCAGTATCAAACTAGAGCAGCGGTATTCAGCCCGAGCGTTCTGCCTCCCAGGGGACACTGGGTAATGTCTGGGGACATCTTGGTTGTCATAATGGGGAGGGTGTCGGGTGGGAGAAGTGGTGCAACTGGCATCCAGTGTGCCACTTAGCAGTGTCCTCCATTGCCAAGGACAGCCCTCACAGTAAAGACTCAGCCGGCCCAAATACCAAGAGCGCTGAGGTTAAGAAACCTGAATTAAAAGTAGAAGTTATTCAACAAAATAAGACCCGAAGTAGGGAGGCATGGAACAGACTGACATACCTCGATGTTGGGTTGGTGAATGAGAAGAGATAAACCAAAGAACTTATATGTTTATATGCATAGCCCATGGACAGGGGCAATAGGGTAGCAAAGACCAGGGGGGGCCTGGGAGGCGGGGGAAGTTCGCGAGCCGCAGTTTGCCAACCACTGAACTAGGAAATCACCGGTTGGATTCCACTTAGAGCACATGCCCAGGTT